TTTTATATGCTTGTATTGGTGAGGTTTTTCAATTTGCGCCTGTTTACCCGGTTTCCGAGCCCGAGACAGCGTTCTCATTCAAGTGAAAAAATTGAATTTGAAATCAACAAATATGGAGTCGGATCACCAGTTTTTGATTGTTGATGAGTTGTTGGATGACTCTGAACTAGATGTTTTGTTGCTGGAGCTTGAAGGTTTTATCTTAATATGCAACATATAAAATTATGCTTCGATGATCAATTATTTTGCAGAAGACTACCGGCCACATCATCATCGGCGAAGCAGAGCCCCCGAGTAGCACACTTTCATCACAATAAGTTACAGCAACTTGTTTATGACTGAAATAAGTCGTATATAAGTTTCTACAATTGATTTGTAACAAGCGTGCTACTAGGGCCTACATCCGCCGTAATTTTCAAGAAGCACATCAAAAGTTAATTGCTAACTATTTCAGTCTTGAGGGCCTATCATATAATATGTCAATATTTTGAAAAAAACTGTAATGTTTAGCTCCGTTAGAATATTTTTAGTAGACAAGCAAGACTTCCCTGGAGCTTCGTCAGGTCTTCCCGAATCTTCCTTAGGACAGTCCAAATTTACGGCAGGAGTTCCCGAAACCTCAGCAGGACTTACCGGAACTTCGACAGAACTTTTCGGAACTTCAAAAAGACTTCACCTGAACGTCGGTAGGATTTTCGCAAAGACTTCCCGAAACTACGGCAGGACGTCCCGGAACATCAGTCAGACTTCCCTGGAACTTTTTTAGGGCATCCCAAATTTTCGGCAGGACTTCCTGGAACTTCGTCAGGACCACCCTGAGTTTCGACAAGACTTTCTGGAACTACGGCAGGACTTCCTGGAACTACGACCGGTCTTCCCGGAACCTTATCAGGACCACCCAGATTTTCGACAAGACTTCCCGGAGGAAAGAGAAGGGACCATCATCATCATCAGGCCTTCCCGGAACTTCAGAAAGACTTCCCTGGAACTTCATCATATCTTCCCGGAACTTCTTCAGGATTTCCTGGAACTTCGTCAGGACTTTTGTTTTGTTCGGATCACCCGCATTTTCTGCTAGACTTTTTGAATCTTCGGCAGGACTTCCCAGAACTTCAGTAGGACTCCTGGACTGAATAGCGTATCATTGTGCGAAAACAGCGCACTCCTTCCGCATAATCATGAAGATAGAGCCAGACAACCAGTTTTCGCAGGGAATTCAACATCCTCAGCACCCGTCGCATTTTAATGTAGCTCTTTGGCTACAAAGCTCAGTTTGAAGTAAGCTGATCGAATCAGATTCTTCTGGGTGTGTGAAACTTACCTATGGACGACAGCTTCCACACAATTCACGACCATAGGTGAATCGTACGTGTATTTGTTGGAATCACCAATCAACCCGACGACGAAAACATTCGACACGTAGTTAATGATAACTTCCTGACTAATTCGCAATACTTGGTCCCCGAGAGAGCAGGCAACAGGTACTGCGATCCATGGAAACCAATCCCCTGAACGTGAAATTAAAGAGAAAGTGCCAGCATTTACGACAGCAAACGCCACTTTCCATCCTTAATACGGTTTACGATGCACATTTGTTGAGCGGCCGTCAGCACCCCCGAACTGGATGCGAAAATTTTCCCATTAGGCACCTCCGACACATCATTTACCAATCTAAAACTTATCCAGGAAGTTCCCAAATATTGTATCGCCACAAAGACACATCGCTCTGAAATCAGAGGAATTCCTCCGCATCGGACATACCTATGCAAATCAGTTTTCCGCTGCTATTTGTTGTTCAGTTTGCTGGGAGGGCGTGAACGGTCATATGCTCTATGCGGAATTTATTTAAAAAACGCACTGCAAAAGATAAACGTTTACAAATAAATAAATCAATTTAATTACCTGCAAAATCCGCGAAACGAAACTGTTGATAGAAGATGAAGCGAAGGGAAATGTTTTTTTTTCTGTCTGCTCTGCCGTCTCTGCTGGTTAGCTACCATCTGCCAACAGTGAAAAGCTCACAAATACACTCACAGAAGTTTGAAACAGAGTTCGATTTCTGTTTCAAACACGCGTAAAAATGAAACAGAACTGTCGAGCAGTTGCAAATTTGTTCCAAACAAGTGCTCGAAAAATGAAACTGCAACTCAGCATTGCGAGGGTTGTGTTTTTGTTCTAGTTTCAAATTGAAACAGCCCATATAAAAAACAACAGCATTGCGAACAGCCTCAATGTGTGTGTCAGTTCAGTTCGGTAATCATTTTTTACCTTTTTTGCGTAGTTTTGAATCATCATTGGTACAGCTACCAAAAGTACAGATAATTCTGTATTTCTATACATTTTTCAGAGTTTTCACAGATTAAAGATTTTTAAGATATACACTGATTTCTAAAATATGATCGAACATTTAAAAAATTAAGCTTTAGATTTTCAAAAACAAAACATTATTTTCACTTATTTTAACATCACCAACTTATCTATCTAAGCATGCTTTTTGCGGAATTAAAAAGGAGAATGAGAACTGTCAGAGGTATTCTTTTTTAACAAACCATTAGCAATTTATGATACATATTTTGAAATCTATTTTTTTTGTCTCTTTCAGAAAAACGGCTCAAATCCCGGATTTTCTGGACAAAACTAAGATGAAAAGACTTTGTTGGGCGAAAACACAAATTTACTGTTGGTAACCCTGTTCGTTGAATCAGGATTCACCTTGATAAGTTATGCGACCATGGTTTTAAATGAATCAGTGTTATCATGCAAAGTTAAGAGTCTTATCCGAATCAAATGATTCCAAATGCTACGGATTCATAGAAATTAAGTTTAAATAGATAAAAGTAGAAAAAGGAACAATCGCACCAAATCAGTCCAAGTGAATCCTTTACAAGCAGCTCTGTCACGTTTGATGTAGTAGTTCCGATCATAGACCCGCCTTACGGGGATCAATCCCCTGGTCTAATATAGTCGATTGTTCCAAGTGGAAGTGGTCACTTGCAAACACGAAGCGATCGCTCATAAAATCATACAACGCATAAATAAACTGAAGTTAAAAACTATCACTCACGATGCCACAAATTTCTGGACCGGGAGAAAAAAAATCAAACAATGCAGATTGCGACATCTATCCAAACATGATGAATCACGTTTTCTTTCTCGATTCTAAAGCTTCTCGGAAAGTGAAAAAACTTTCAATCACACACGTATAACCGTCCGGGAGGCAGAGCGCCAGCGCTAATCCGGCAAATGCAGCTGAAAACTATTGCATTAAATTCATTTTTAAAACCGGACATTTTCTGATTTTCTCGTCAGGCTTTAAAAGGTTTTTAAAACAGCGTAGCTGAACTACTAATCAAGAATTTTTTGCACTTTTAAATGCTGTATTTAAACAAAAAAGATTGCTTATTGCCGTTATAAAACCACAATAAATCTTTCACTCTGATCACCAAAAGGCTGTTAAATTGTTACTTGAACGCTTTGTTTCAACGATCGTTGGTCGTATTCATAAGCTACGTAGACAGGTTTTGAAACGTTTTATGTTCCCCTCCCTCTGCATAGACAATCGCTCATATATCCCCCCCCCCCTAAGGTGATTACTTGGTTTATAAACAGCCACTATGGAGCCCGATGGCCTAGTGAGTTGTCGCATCATTTGCACACCATGCCAAAATGAATCCAGATCTAAGTCATCCATCCCACTAGAACAAACGTTGTTGCCTCGAAAACCGTGCAGATGTATTCTCGGTCTCTGCCAAACAGGGCATTCAAACAGTTATGGTTTCAACCATGTCCAATTCAGCCAGTTTACTTCAAGAGTCCTCAGTAGCAAGCGGATACGTCGAAAAAACACGGAAACACATTCAAAAGCTCCCAACGAGACAGGAATGTTTGGTCCACCTCAGGAGCAGGAAATTCCATGACCCTTCTCCATCAATTACCATTCTGAGCACATTTCCACGCAATCCGAAACCACACGCTGATAAAGTTAATCAAACTTGTGCTTGTACCTTCGGGTGCTCGACTGACTGGCTGTAGAATTTATGTCCTTCTGGGAAATGGCGAATATCTGTCTAATTCACTCCTCGCCAGCAGCCCAACACGACGAAAACACGACACACGGTAATGCATTCTCTAATTCGTCCTAATTCGATTCAAATTTATGCACCGTTGACAGTCAAAGCTAAGATTTGTAGCGTACAAGGACAACAGATCTCCGCCTCCCACCTCGTCGCGTGTGGTCTGCTTGGGGTGGGGTTTTCCACCAAATTGATGCTCGTAATATGTAAATCAGTAGAACAGAATGAATTTCGAGATGACGTAGGTTGCTTGCTACCATGGATGGGTTCGTACGAGGATAAGAACGATGGCTGTGCAGTAGTTCGCCCATGGGAGACAAAAGCACGCTAGTAAAGTGGGTACAACTCACTGCAAATGATATCCTGCTAATTCGGTTCCGTCTGGTTTCTCTGGAGATGCTCCAGTCGCATGTTTTGGGCTGACAAAATGGTAATTTATAATGTGGAAGCGATGCTTTCCTGGGTCGAATGAAAGAAAAAAAAATGCCATATGAGTGAGAGAAGGTTTATTCAACTCTCCGGATTCATGCTGCGGAGCATTCAGTGTCTGGGATGCTTGAGAGATGCAACACGCAACGGTAATGATAATGCCATATCTGAGGCAAAGATGTGCCAGGAATAGGACTCTATCTGTGGTCAGTTTTATGCGGCCATTGTTTTGGCTAGTTGGTGTTGCTCTGTTTCCCGGAAAAATGGCCAAACGATGCCTCCACGTGCGATGGAATCTGATAATTTACTGCGATGTGCTCTAATTATTGTTTATGATTCTTAATTGCTACCCTATAAACGAACGTTTACTGAACTAATGGTCGATCGTCCAATCGCTGTTTTCAACGTGAGTTATCCGATTGAAACTATGCAGTATATAACTGCCCTGGACTGGAAATGGCCATGTAGTTTTTCGTGATCCCGCAAAAAAAAAACACAATGTTCAAGCTTCCATTCTTCGTATTCGCCCTGGGGACTGTACTCTACGTGGTAAGATACAACAACCGACTTGGAAGTTTGCGCTACCGAAGAGTAACACGATCTATTAAGAGTTCCATTTCAGCGGACCCCATAATTGATCAGCAAATGATAGCCGAGGGCATGAAGAAGATTCAACTTGGCGTCCCAAAACTAATGGAGAGGTTGGGCGGCAGTGGCGGTGGAATGGAAGGAGCGTTGGCAAAAGTGACTGGTAAGTTTGTTGCGTTTCATCATCGAGTACAGGTTATCAAATTCATTCGAATTAAACAGAGATCGCCAGCAAATTTATTGGTAAAGGCAGAAATCGAGGTCAGCAGGAGCGAGCGAAGCGCTCGATCGAAACTAGCTACGCCGAGACCAGTATGAACAAAACGGACTACCGGAAGGTTGAGATGAAGAACAAACGGGACAACGATCCGGCCAATCAGCAGGTAACCGAGGTAACCTGTTTGGTTAAGGACAACGAAATCTACTGGCTGGAGCTGGTGACCTCGGCGTTGATTCACATTACACAGGAAATGAAGAAAGTGCTCCATGGGAAAGCCATTTCGATCAAGATGTCCAGGAATGCGTAAAACCGAGCCAAGGCGATGAATTAATTGAAACTGTATTTAATAGCTGTTTAATAAGATTGGGTGCAAAATACGTGTGGATTTAATGATTTCCTAAATCCATAACCATAATCGGGAAGCTTCGTGGCAGTCTCAGGCGGAGATATTTTTGAAATTTCAAGTACTAGTGCTATCTACTAGTTTCAGCTGAATCATTTGTGTGGAGCCGAACTCTGGATTTTGTTTTTTTCATGGGGATCGAGTGTTTATTTGTAGATCAAATTCCAGATGTGATCAACGGTGTAGTGTTCAGAGGGTTTTTTTTTTCAAAATCAATGAACCGATTCTACTTAGTCCAGATAGGAGATTCTAAGGGCATATTTGAAATCACTTGGAGTCTTGAGACAATTTCTTGTACTTTCATTGCTATTATGGCGATTGAAGATCATCTCCAGCTTTTTTTTATAAAATAAATTTTGTATCAATGCTATTTTTAAAGATTCAATTTGCAATTTTACCAAATTAGCACCGATTAAACTTTTTGAGTTGTTTCAGTCTCAATTTTTCTTAGGCCTATTTTATGGAACTTTTACATATGTTGATAGAATTTAGCTGGAGGAGTACAAAAGTATAGATCTTATGGAAAAGAAATTGATTTTGATGATCAAGCTAGGACGTCCAAACATGTAACGAAATTATGAAAGATTTTGAACAATAATAACTCAGCTGCCCCTGAACCAAATTCAATAATTTTACCACCAATCGATCAGAAATAATTGTGACAGTTGACAAAAAATAATTGAAAAAGTGGTAAATGTCAAGCATTGTCCAAAAGCGTCGAAATACCTAACAAATACACCAATTAGTCGTTAGTAGTCGAAACTAGTCGAAGTGGCATTCGCCTCCGATCTTCGGGCGTGTGCGAATAGGGAGGATGTAATTGTGTAACATTTTGCACAGTCATCACCATATTCAAAACTTCACGCCCTCAACGACCACACAAAATGCACTCCAGAGTTTTAATCTTATAACCAAACTTGGAAGCAGGAGTGCAAGTGATTTTGATCAATTCTCTTCATCGGCTTTCTGTTTCGTTAATAACTCGACGGCAAACACATTCATTGATACATTTGTTGTTCTGGATGATAGAAGAGCATAGCAATTGACTTTCACCCCTCTGCCCCTTAATTCAGTTGTCGTCATAGCAATGAAAACTAGCATCGCACCGCTTTTTGTTCTTGGGCTACACTTGCTAGTTGCAATTCTGCTGTTCGACACTTTTGAAGGACCACCAAAAAACATGAAATTACACTATTTCTAGGGATGCCTAAAAGTTCAATTGCTCGATTAACGATTAATCGTAAAGATTTGTCTAGCTATTCAATTAAATATTTGTCGAATTTTCAATTATTCGAGTGCGTAACCGACATCCCTTCTTATTTCTACTCATTTGATTTAGCGGAGTAGAGAAGAACCATGCCGTGAAACAGGATCATACATTCGCCGAAAATAGTGATAAGCGTACGAACTTGAGAGAAGGAGTTTAACGAGAAAAACTTAAAAGGGGAGGAGCTTTAGCTGGGTGGACACTAATATTCTGCGGCCTTCCAACCTATTGCTGACACCAGTTCAACCCCTGTCCAGCAGCAAACGGGCCGAGACTCTTGCGAGTTCCCAATCATGATTGTTCGGTCCGATTTGCTGATCCAGCTATCTCCACGTCATCATCGTATTCCAAAGGCCAGTACTTCCATCACGGCTACCAAGATTTTCCAAAAGAGTTAAATTTCTGAACATGTCCCAACTAAAATTCATGCCAAAAGGTTCTTTTCAGGGCAATCATCGTCATACTAAAGAGTATAAACAGAGAGAACCCCGCTCAAATTTCTATTCCTACACAAAACACAAGCTCCTGCTGCAGTTAACAAATAACATTTATTATATAAGACCACGTAGTCCTACGTCAGCATTGCGTACAACCCCATAGGGCAGTCCCTAGTAGTTTTTTTTTTAAATTTCAACAGAGACACATAGGATATTTATCAAAAGATTTGTATTGAAAAGTGCTCGCAGAACGCTAACACATTTGATGAAATACAAAACAGCATATGGGATATTTCATCTCAAGTAACCGAGCAATTGTATAGACCCTCAACGATTTCTACCAAAACTACTAATTTAAAATATCCACAGTTTTGTGCCATTTGATTTTTAATAAACACCAATTTTCATTTTCACATATCTCTGGAATCAAAGATACTAACGACATTGGCATTTTGGACGTAAAATAATATTTGGTGATTGTAATTTTTCTACAGTGTTGTTGATTCTGCTATAGGTGATTTTAAAATTTATTTACTTTTCCATCCCAAGTAACAATTCTGCAGTCATTTGGCATCCACTCTGATATATGATGGTTTTATGAAGGCAATGAACAATTCATTTAGTTTAAATACAGCATTTCACAGTGTAAAACGTTTCTGCTTAAGAATTCACGTTTTTGCTGTTTTAAAAACCTTTTACAGTCTGGCGAGAAGTCAAAAACTGTCTTGTTTTAAAATTAAATTTAAAGTAGTTCTCAATCCCACCATAAAACTGTTCTATACATCAATCATTAACATCATTAGCAATTTTTTATTAATGTCTTGATAAAATACTCTTTAAACCTGTTCCATCATTACCAAATAAATCATAAAACCATTAGGTTTTAAAAGAGAGTAAAAGGCATATATTGTTGCCTTTTAGGCTTTTAAAAGTGTATCATAAAATCTCCTCTGTTTAAAAATTGAACTTTAAAGATGGATCCTCATAGTGAATAAAAACCAAATTTATGACAAGGATATCTCGAAGGAAAAACGAAGTTGGAGGAAAAATTCAAGCGATGCTAACGACCGAAGTAAAGCCGATTTCAGTAAAATTAAGTTCTTTAGGGTACCATCAACGACTGAGCATCTGGTGGAGAAGAGTAAAGTGAGCGTGGTCCTCAAATTCATAAAACATTGTCAATACAGCCTAAAAACAGACCAGCCTTCTCCAGATCTTGTGAATAGATGAAGATCGGAATAACTTGCGTCAGTACCGACAGAAAACCACTGAAACTGTCAGTTAGCAGACACTAGTTGGTTTCCAATTCTTAGCTGCGATTTTATTCGGCGAAAGGGTCATCACTTGGAAAAAAAATCATTCAACCGTACATTCCTGCATCGTTTGATGGTGCACTTCTAGAACCATCCAGAAGATGGGGATCTTTTTGGGAATATTTTTAAATTTTAATTTACGGGAATTAGATAAATACAATTCAGTCTACAAGGTTTCTTCATAAAAGCCATTTCAAAACCTTATGAATTTGTTAAGGATTTCTTGAAAGCAAAATAAGTTACATACAGTGATACAGTAGGATCTGCTCCGTTTCCTCCTCATCAGTCTATTCTTCATTACATCTACCTATGTCCATTACCAGTGGATACTGATGCTTATCAATTATTCGAATGTCATGTACGTCATGGCTTGAAAAGTTGAGCCTGGTTCAACTTTTGACGTAGGACTGCGTCTTTGTTTTCTATATGGGGGTACACTTTGCGAGTACGAAAAATGAGCATGTAACGACAAGGGTCAGGTTTTGAACGCATATATCTCCATAGCATTAGTGTGAAATATGTCATGCTATATGCCATTCGACGGGGGCTTACTCCAACCATTTTGTGGCATATAGTACAAATAGTACAAATAGTAAACAACTATGAAATTTAACTAAAATGTGTAGCATCAAAATGTCCCATACATTTGCTTACGCCATAAGGTGTATTTCCCTACAAAAACATCACATAGCTGGCTCCAAACGAATCAAGCCGTTGCCGCATTTCCTTTCGACGTGTTCGAAAGGCTCTACAAGCAGCTTGCTGCCAAGACTGCCTGCAAGAGCGCTCTAGACAGAGTAGTAGTGATGAAGCCACACTGTCACTGTTTGGGTACAGTTGCTCATCGTGAGAAAGCATTGTGGGCCGTTATCGTCATGTCGAAGCTCACCCAAGCTCAAACTAGCTCACCGTATCCGTGGAGGTCTCAGAATTCTCCAACCACGACAAAGATCGAGCAACCCGGTAATGTGCATCAAACCTGCCGCGTCCAGAAGAATAAGAACCTGTGATAAATGGCGTCACGATATAGTGCGTGTTGTTCATCGGCAAACAGCCGGGTAATTTGCTTGCCACTCGATAGACGACGATGCGTATCAAACCAAAAGAGTTAATTTTCATAAATTTTCTAGAAGCAAAACCCACCTGAATAAAATTTACCACCAAAGAGTTTGCACCATTATATTATTCTGCGTATACCTGTCACCGAATACTACGCTGAAGCAAGCCAAAACCTTCGTGACCAGGAATCTGTTCCACTATAGAACGAAAGATAGTCCAATCATCGTTGCGGGGATTTCAACGTAGACGTCTCGAAAGCTGAGAATATCGGATTCGTCCAATTTATGAAGAATTTTCTGCAACTCGATTGCGTATTAGACCCTAAGCTGCTGACTACATTGGGTGGCACATGCATCGATTTAGTGTTTGCAAGAAAAATACCGGAATTGCAAACCAAAAGGTTTATTACGTACTTTTCGTACCATCGCCCCTTGTTTACCTTGTTGTCTGCTGTAAGTTTCTGAATGATTCTTGAATATGGTTGATCATTTGCTTTATTTTATAGCCACCGACGACACAGTAGTTGCAGTAGGATGCTTCCCTTTTGAACTAGGTGTTAGTATCCTTTAACAACAACGTCACCTTACATACCGTTCATTTTAATACCACATCATCAAAACGGTCCTTTTGAGGGCCATGCAACATCAAAACGGCTCTTTTCAGAGCCACAAACCATCAAAACGACCCTTATCAGGGCCACCACCATTTTCAAAGAAAGAGTTTGTTTGGAATATTTTCTAATACAAGAATAATAACACATGAACTGAAAAAGAATCTTATTAGTACTAAACGGAAAATGGACACTGACCAATTATTACACTTCGGAAGAAATTCACGGATGTGTGAATA